GTGTGATTTATTAAATTTAAAGTGAGACTTACTAATTTTGTGGTTATTATTTAATTTCTTCAAATAATAAAGAATGTGTTTCTAGCAATTTTTTTAACGTAAGAAATTTAGTAATGCAAAAAGGACCAATGTATGCTGATGAGAGAAGAAATCATAATCTGCATAAATGTAAAGGAGTCAGGGAGGGATATTTTTTCTTTCTTTGTATCTCTAGGCATTATCCTTAGTTTAGTTTTGAATCTTGTTGACTTGACTTATTCACTTTGATTTCTTCCAGTTTTTTTATGTGTGTTCCTTCATCAATATGGCTAATTCAAAACATTCTTGATTACCATCTTATCTCAAATGATAAGTTCAAGAGTGCTCAATTGCATGGTTTTTTAGCACAACATATCTTCCAATTTCAAGAACTTATGGTCCCATCATGGAACTTTTATCCGAAGACAATCTTGTAAAATATAGAGAATTCCAATTCCAGAATTTACAGCTCGTTACAGAACAAAATGTAAGAATGGTACTTCTCCTCTACTACATTTCATGATTTGACAATGGTAAAAGTGACTATGACCTTGACCCATTGCCCCCGGAAATAGATCCCCTGACTTTGGAGGGGGAAAGTTAGGGTAACTTTACACATTTAAACTATTGGATTTGTAATAGTAGATCAGATTGTGACACGTGTACATTTAAGTTAAAATATATTTTGTACACGTGTCACAATCTGATCTATTATTACAAATTCAACGATTGAGATGTGTTAAGTTACCATAATTTTGATATCTCAAAGTCAGAGGATCCGGATCCATTGCCCCCGTTCAAGGGAGTACTTACCGAAAGGAATGCAACAAAATTTGGAACTTCCATTGTGTATTTCTTGAGTAGGAATTAATGAAAAACTCGTGCAGAAGAAACAAGAAGTTTATGCTTTTGTCAATAAATTAAGGTTTATATAGTCTAAATTATATATTTAAACTTAATTTGAACTCATCATGGGAAGCCTTAAAATGTAATGTGGTTTTTTAATACATGAATGCAAAGTTTTGTTAAATTTATACTTTGTTTTTTTATTTTTTATTTATTTTTTATAAGGAGTTACAACTCTTTTTCATTAGGACAACTGCTATTAAAAAAATGTAGTATTTCTAGTATTATGACTTCATATTTAAGGTGTGGATCAAATTCTAGATTTTATCAAAAAGTATAATTATCAAACCACTTTGAGTTAATGATTTTTGAAAAATTTATACTTACATGTAGAAGTAAAATTAAAGAGTTTATCTAAAAAATGATTTTATGTAAGAAATTTGATTTATTCTATTTCCCTGATTGATAAAAACTTTGAGCAAATTAACTCTTATTCGTGTGTCCTATATAAATTTTGAAGTGAAGGCATACCAGGATATATATTATATACTTAAATCATTTTCTATATATTAAACCTTGATTATTAACTTCTTTGATTTGTGTTACTGGTATATCTGCATATAACTCTAAAATTGTTTTACTAAAGTTGCTAAAGGATATTTTCTATAAAAAAATTATTTGAGTTGAACATTTTTTTTTCTTTTATAAAATGAATGAATTTTCGATTTAATTTTTCTAAAAGTTTTTCTTTAGTTTTTATCCATTTAAGAAATATATTTTTGGTCCCCAATAACATTATATAATAATAATGCATGGTAGTGTTAGAGTGTTTAGTAGGGGAAAAAAATTTATATTCAACAATCATAATTTCTGAAAATTACAAATTTAAATCTTGAAAATTATTATTCTTGAGAATAACTAAAATTTGTTTAATTACGTATGAAAGTTCCTAAAAATATTTATATAGAATTCCTAGGAATTAAATATTTTCATGTTATAATAATATATTTTTAGGTATATAAATATTTTTTTTATAAAAATATCCTTTATTAAAATAAATTCCTTTAGATATATTTATTTGTTCATACCTCGTTATTCATATGACATTAAACTATTTTAAAACGTTAAAAATTTATAAATAAACAAAGAAAAATGTTAGATAAAAAATATAAAAAATAAAAATATATTATTTTATTTCATTCAAATAAATAAATAAATAAAAGTTAACAAATATCATTACTATGTGGAAACAAAACAAATTTTAATAATATTATTAAAATTGACATGGTCAAGAAATAATGTGATATAAGAAAGAAAGAGAAATAGAGATATAGAAGAGAGAGAGAGAGAAAGGATGAGATGGAGAGTGAGAGTGAGAGTGACAGAGAAAGAGGGAGGGAGAGTGAGAGAGAAGGGAAGTGGGAGAGAGGAAAAGAAGGGGTGTGAGAGTGAGAGAGAAAGAGAAATAGAATGAGGGAGAGAGGAAGAGAGGGGGAGTGAGAGTGAGAGTGATAGAGAAAGAGAAAGAGAGAGATTTTTTATTTTTAAAAAGGATACTGTGATAATTTTATATATACTAGTGGAGTCGAGGCACTTCGTGCCTCTATTAAAGATAAAATAAAAATTAAGTAATGAATATATGTTGATCTAGTATTATGATTAGTCCATTAATTTTAAAGTCTTGATTTTGATAAAAAAAAATTATTATTATTTTTTAATTTTTTTAAAATGAAAGGATATAATGGTTAACAAAATGTGAAGGCCAAGATGATTACTAAAAGGAGTATCTCCTTTATATATTAGTATATACAAAATTTTTCCTCTAACTTAGGGAATAAGTTGGATCTCTACCTCCATAAAAATGTCTTTGAGTGAAGTGAGATAAAAATGGTTTCCTAAAACTATATTTCTAGAATTTTTTTTTCAAATAGCTACCCAATATGGAAAATTAAGATCACTGATTTAAGATTTTCAAAAAAGTAAAAACATTCCGTGTATCAAACGTTCCCTTAAAGTAACAAACATCTCTAAAATTTTTCCATGTGTAGTAACAATATTCTCTTTTCGATATTAAATTTTTAATAACTTCCATGACATATATACATCACTTTGTGGAAATATTTTTTAGAGAATGTTTGATATGAAAAATACTTTTACGTCTTTAGGAATCTAAAGTTAAAAATGTCTACATTAGTTTACCATCTAAAAAATAACATTCCTAAGAAATATGGTTTCTTGAAAATGTTTTTTATACAAGCATATATCTCATCAAATTGTTCTCATGGGAGTATATTTTAACCATATATTTTAGTTATTTGTAACAACTTTTTTTCTTCTAAAAGTTATAAAAATTAGCATAATATTTTTTTTGAATATTATAACTAAAATTTAAATAAAATCTGCATATAAAAAATTTAAAGATTATAAAATTAAAATTCAAATATTTTTCACAATTATACTAATAACATTAGTGAATTTAACAACTGAATTTTAAACATTCAATCACATACATTTAAAGTTCAAACAATAATTGTTAAAATAAAATATTTTGATTATACATAAATCAAAATAAAAGATAATATAATACAATAATTAGCTATTATAAGTTCAAACAAAGCACAAGTAAAATCAAATTCATACAAATTTAAATAAAATCATATTTATAAAACCCATACCATCCCTATTAACATACAAATATAAAAAATGTCTTTACCCGTTATGTGTGAGTATTCATTTAAAATATTCATTTTTTACCCATTGTAAATTTTATCTATAAATATATATTGTTTTGACATCCTCACATGAAAGGAGGTGGGAATCTAATGAGTTAATACAAATGTTTTATTGCAATAAAAGAGTTATCATTAAAAATTAATTTTTTTTATATAAGAATAAATTAAAATATATAAGATTGAATTAAATAGAAAATTACGGATATAAATTATAAAATCAGGACACCTCACTTTTATTGATATATTGTGTCAATTTAAAATTTAAATTAAATTAATATTTATTAAGATTAAAGTAATTAATCTTAAAATTTAGTTTATCTAAATTATAAAATCTTCAAATTGAAAGTCCGTCAAAATATAATTTTAAATTAAATTAAAATTAGTATTTAAAAGTTATGATAAGTGGTGTGGCTTAAAAAGAACGAGAATAACACCTAAAAAAACACTTATTCAACTGAGGGTTCATATTTATATATAAAAGTAATTTATTTAAAGTCTAAAGCATTAACAGTATTTTTAGTTCCTCTTTTTATTTTTTTTATTTTTATTTTTTATTTTTTTTATTTTTATAAATATCTCAAATTTTGTCTCTTCCCAATAATGTGCTCTACGAAAATATTAGTCTATTTTATCTTAATAAAAAATAAATCTCTCTCTTTTTTTAATATGATGTGTTTAAACTTAAAATTTAATTTAATTTAAATTTAAGGAATAATGTTTGAAAAAATATTAAAATATAAAAATAACCTAACTTATAAGAGAAGTAATACTTGTACAATAAATTGTCTAGCAAATTTTATAATAAAGTGAGAGATAAAAAAAAAAGAAATTGAATATGAAATAAATAATATGGTGAAAAGAGATAACACAAATAATAATATTATAAATTATATATATATATATATATATATATATATATATATATATATATCTATCAACAATGGTTAGAGTAGAATTAGGGCTCAAATCTTGTGTAAGGGTCTCGGTATTCCAATTTTATGGATGTAAAGAAAGGGATACTAAATTAAACTTCTTCTAATATCATATAATATATTTTAATAAGGTATACTTTCTTCTTATCATATCAGTTTTTATAGAGTAAAGTAGTATTTAAGTTATGGTAACTTCTATAATAACCAATCCATAATTTTGGTGTGGTTTTTTAATTATGAAATTTTAGTTATTAAATTTTATAAAATTCATAATTTCAATTTGATTGTCAAATATTTATCTTCTAATGGTTAAAATTAGAATGTTACGTGTGATCTGAAATTAAATTGAGTAATAAATTTACGGTTTGGGAGTAAAAAAAGTGATTAAAAAGGTAATCTAGCCATGTGGGATGATTAAGATACTCCCAAACTTTTGTTAATAAATAATATAAATTAATAGCATATTAATTGTTCACGGCCTCTTTATCTCTTCAGTTTCGATGCTTTCCGTTCACTCTAATTAGTTGTGTTGTGTTCAGCCAGATTCAAAATTCCACTTGGAATCTCTGATTTGTCTTGTTGTTCTTCTCTGGTGTCTCTATTTCCGTGTCTTATCTTCCTGTTTGTTTGTGTGGTGTGTGATGGGCGTGTGAAGTGAATGTGAATTGTGAAAAGTCTCACCTTTGGGGTCATTCATGATTTGTTCTGTGCATTGGACTGAAATCTGAAGATGGGTGTTCGTTGTTAGCCACTGAGATTGTGAACATTGATTTGATTTGGTGGAGAAAGATGAAGGATTTTTGTGGGACACCTGGCACTTTTCTTGGGCTGGTTCTTAGGATGTCACAGTTCATTTTTGCTGCTGGGTCTATTGCTTCCATGGCTACCACAACCAGTTTCTTTAATTTGACTGCTTTTTGGTAATTAGTCAATACCCTTCACCTCTCATTCCAGTAAAGATCTTGTTTTTTGTTCTTGTTTTCTGAAAGTTCATTCATTATTTCTGTTTGGTGTGGTTTTCATGAGTCAGTGTTGTGTTCTCAAAACACATTAGTCATATGTTAGTCATTTTTTGTTTGTTGTGATTGATTCAGTTTCATATTTGGATGTGTGAGTGTATGCATGTCAGTCAAATTAGCATTTTCAAGCATCTTTAGCTTAATGCAGCAATGAATTGGCACTGTTGAATGAAGATCGGGTAGTTTAAATCTCGGATGCGTATTTTAATGAATCTTGCTACCTTTTTGGACTATGAATAGTCTCATATACCCAGATAAAATATGAGTTGTCCGATCTTTATCAAATTGTTACATGAATGTGTTAAATCCTTCTGTCCCTTTACCACATTGTTTATAACCTTTGTTTTGTAGCAATCTTTTTATTTTTTACTATTTCATGAAACTGTTGTTATTCAACCACACCAAGGAGTTTTCATGATGTTTCTTAGGATATCTCCTTTTTCTGTTAGATTCAGTGCCTAGACCAGATGCAGATCTGGATTCCTTGTAGTCAAAGATTTCTCGCATTCTTGCATTCAGCCAATAGGAACCATTTGATAAAGATTAAATGTATCATATTTTATCTTGCAAATCGAACTTAAACTATGTATGAGATGTGAATCGTGTGATCATGCAAAGGTTACAATTTGTGAATGTGTGAATGCTGGAAATCTATTTTTGCTAGATGCTCTCTGTATCTGGCCAACACATTACTTATTGCTTTTTCGTAATTAATTACTCATTTTGGTTAATCGTTGTGTCCCTAGTCTATAACAATACTTACAAGACTCTGCTTGCCCTTTGGTTTTCAAATTGTGATAACACAACCTACTTGGTATTCTAACTATTCAATTCCAAATGATTTTGAAGCAGTGAAGATGTGCTTGAAGATTTGTGTTTACCTTCTGAGGAAAAAATGCCTTTACCGCTGAATAATTAGGTCTATTAGGTCGTTTTGTTGCAACAGATTACGCATAACATGTATGGTTGGTATCTGGATCCGGAGTAATTGGTGTGATGTGGATGCGTTTAGACGATACCCATCTCTTCTATTTTGTTCTGTTCCTGTAAAAAGGCAATGAGTTTTACTTTTAGACCATATTTCACTTCTGTAATGTATCATATTCATATCCATGAATCTATCATTTAAAGCTCTTTTCACAGTCACTTACTTTATGCATGGATGCGAGAATATTCTGAAAGTGTTTTTATGCACCCTGGCTCTTTGTGCAAAGGGTGACTGATCTGGCTGTAGCTAGGTAGAAACTAGGGTCGTAGTCGAGACGAAGTGTTTGCAAAGGTCGGAGGTCTCCAGTTAAACCTCAATGGAGTGTGAATATGATATACCTTCTTACTTTCAAAATCATTGTTTTCTATTTAAGTCTATGTTCTTGCTTTTCTCAGACAATAATAAAAGCATGTTTCTCATGAAATATTTTGCTTTTGGTGGAGTGGTGGTCCTGAAATTAATCTTGCATTGTTCATCAATCAATACTTCAATACCAATGCTTGGATGTTGGATGTGGAATACTTCAAATGCTGACTGTTCCAGTGGTAATTGTGCAGTTACTTGATAGCTTCAATGGGTTTACAAATCATTTGGAGTTTTGTCCTTGCTTTATTGGATGTATATGCTTTGGCAAGAAAGAAGGTCCTCCTCAACCCAGTACTAATTAGCCTCTTTGTGGTTGGAGATTGGGTTAGTTTCTAAGTTAACCTTTACATTTCCCAACTTTCCTAATTAGGCCTTGTTTGGATAATATTTTTCCATAAGCACTTATAAGAGAAGGCAATAAGAATGTAGAATGAATTGAGTTTCTCTCATAAGCTAAAATCAACTTATGCACTTAAGCTTTTGGAGAGGTTAAATGAGAGAACTTTTATAGAAGTGCATAAATTGATTTTGGCATACAGGAGAATCTCAATTGATTCTACTTCAATATTTTCTTCTCATATAAGTGCTTATGGAGAAATTTATTCAAACAATGGCTTAGTTTGTTACACACAGAAAGACTAGTGTAGTTAAGATGTTTATCATTTCACAAGTTTTCTTCTTTGCTACTGTCCATTCTCCACAGGTAACAGCAACACTATCTCTGGCAGCAGCTTCTGCCTCAGCTGGCATCACAGTTTTGTACTTTCATGATCTGGGACACTGCCACTTTGGTGAGGAGTGCCAAAAGTACCAGATTTCGGTGGCACTAGCATTCTTAAGCTGGATTTCAACTTCAATATCATCTTTAATTATGCTTTGGCTATTAGCTGCCGGGTAGCAATCTTTTCACAAGAATGCCCTCATCTTCCAGCCAAATTTCATCTTGTTGAAAAATTTCTCTTCAATTTGTTAATAGAAAAGGAATCACGGTAACGCTGTGCTCTGAAATTTAATTTGGATAGCTGCAGAATGCAGATTGTAAAGGAAAGAAAAATGTATATATGATTTTGCCATGCAAAGATATAAACCTGGATGTTTACACGAAAGACAAAATTTAGATGCAATTTCTTAAGTGTTTTTTTGTGTTATTTTCTAATTAGAATTGAAATTTCATCTTGATAATTTGCACAATAAATGTTTACGATTAATGTCAGCATTGGTTCTCAAGATGAAACTTTAATTCCGATTAGAGAATAGTGCTAAAAGAACTCAAGAAACTGCATCTAGTTTTTGAACTTACATGAAATTGGGTTGCTAATGCTAGTACATGCTTTTGTTACACGATTTTACAGCCTTCATTGGGACAAGTGTATGTTAGATACTTCATATTTGAAAAGGCTTATTCTGTTATGATTGTCCTCATTCTCATTTGTGTGCATGTATCCTATTCTTTCTACTATGAACATAGAAATAGTATAGTACGTATGTGCTTGAACTGATGAACCTGGGTTAAGTAACCAAAGATGTACACGTAAAGAAGGAAGTTGATAATTTCCTTAATTCAAGTTAGGAACCAAACACCTTGGCATCCATCTCTTGGAGTACATGAGAATATTTACTTTGACACCTCAAAATGACTTATTTAAATTCTCTTCTATATATGCAATTAATCTATCTGAACATCATGAAAAAATACAACAATATAATATGATCATGCATCGTAAAGCTCGAAATAGAGAAGAGTACCATAGAAACAATCCAACTGATTGAAAAAGATACAATAAAAATGTGTAAGTGCTCTATTTGTAAAGCTTATTTGCATGTAACAACTTTCTAATAAACTAATAACAATACTTTTAACAAATTACTCTTGACATAATCTGGTAACAGTCCGTATTATAACTGTCTTTGAAATGAGAGACTGATGTTAGTATGAGAATCTTTAGTTGCTTAATGGACTCAAGGGCGAAGATCTAGTGAGATAAAGATCTTTAGAAAAGGTGCTTAGGAAGCAAGTGCTTCCAGGTTCCTTGGATGTAATGGGTACAAATAGAGCACGAGTTGTAACCTTGGAATAAGGCGTGCTTTGGGAGAGTATATTAATTTTAAATCTCCATTAACAATTTAGATTAGAAACTCTTCCTAATTTTCACATCACACAAGATAGGTGTTTGTTTGTTTGTTTGTTTTTTTTTTTTTTTTTTTTTAAATTTTTCATTAGAGAGATAGATAGAGATTTGTTAACATGAGTTGATCCAAATTTAGTATGCCCAAGTTATTAACATGTACCAAAATATTTAGACATAAAAGTCCATTATGCTTTATTTGAACAAATTTGTTGGTTAAGTTATTAGTAAAATAATTTTATTTTGAAAATTAAAAAATAAATTTCTCTTCTCTTTCATTCTTCTTCGAGAGTTATTTATTTATTTAAAAGAATTTTTTTTTTCTCATCAAGATTTAACTATTGTCAAATTTCCCCTCCTTCCCACCAATGGAAGAGTATTGGTGAAGAAGCATAATAATGGTATTTCATCTTAAGATACACGTTGCTTGAGGATGACAATTTTCTAGGTGTGCGGAGTAGAAACAAGAAAGAAAATTAGGTGGAACTAAAATTAATTAAAGGAGAGAAAAATTTGGGAAGTGAAAAACTAGAGGTGAGATGAGAAAAGAAAAGGAAGAAAGTTTTTTTGACTTCTTTAATTTTTAAATAAAAGTAACTATCCAAAATAACCATTTTAAATATATATATTTTCTCTTCTCTTCAAAATATATATATATATATATATATATATA